AAAAGAATGATACATGTGGTGAAAAAATCAAAGTTTTAGATTAAGATGTTGAAAAAATCACCAAAAATATGTAAAAATTAAGAAATTATATTTCTTTAAACTTTATACACAACGTTTCAGGCTGATACCCTTTTTCAAATAAGGCCTAGAAATAGAATGCTTTGTTTCCTATTACATGCTGAAAAAAATAGGGTAGGTAGGCAGGGTATTGGGCTGATTGGATTTTGTTGCAATATCCTCTGTTCTATTGGTACTTTCAACTTTTGCGAGGCATCTTAATCTAAGCCTACAGTGAAATTCAGTTGATTTGACACCAAATGTGTTTACTAATTGGTCAATTCCAATGTGCATTGAAACTTTGTCCAGATCAACATGTGTTGATGTCTGCTCATAATCAGTCGAATCTAGTTTTGGATGGTATGACTCAAACATGTCTTTGACTATTCCAGTAAACTGTGACACTGTCTTTTTTATTAAAGATGACAGCCAATATTCTAGTGACCATGATGAAATGTTTGACATTGCCTGAATGGAAGATCAGCTATTATTGGCTTAGAGCATTGACACCACACAAACTAATGAATCAGAGACATGGTTTTGTATGACCTTCACCTTGTACAATATGGTAGCATATTGATGCAATAATTTATGAAAATAAAAAATTTAATCAAAGAGCATTTTTCATTAGAGTTGGTCTGGAGATTGATTTTTTGGGGGGAAGCATTGAAAAAACTTTAGGGTCAGGCAATTTATGTAGGGTCGGTTAGGTAACCAGAAACAAAGCAAATTTTTTCTAGGCCTAAAGTCAGTAAATGGTGTAAAACTAACATCACAAGTTGAGGTATATAGAATTGCTTGGAAATAGTACAAAGGAAGTAATGAAAAAAGAAAGAACTATCAAAACCCACTTCCCTAAAAATTGAACTGTAAAATAAAACTTAAAAGAAATAAAATTGTCTACCTACCCTAATTTCAAGTTCAGTGTAACAGGAAACACCAATATTTTATTCTTTGGTCTGATATAAATCAAAATAATTATTTTTTTTTCAAACAAAGTACTTTGATTTTCTTTTTCAAGAAATATTTATATCTAGTTCATACTGATGTTTTAGGTAAATTGGTATCTATCATTCATATTCATGTTACAATATGGTAAGTGACTTCAATATCATTAGTATTGCATCTGTTATAAAGTCTTGTATAATGTAAGTTACCAAAATGTATGAGAGATTAACAAATCTCCCTAAAATAGAAATTAAATTTGTTACCTATTGAAAGTAGTAAAGAAACATCCAATGGAAATGAAACGTTATTTTGATGTGAATTTTTTTGTATATCATTTCATACAAGGTGTGTGTGTATATGTTCAAAGATTGATATCAAATCAAGAAAACAAATAATTACACAGAAGAAGAGGTAAATAAATTAACCTGAGCTATTTTCTGTCTTTATAGCCATCTTAAAGTAGTATGTACAAAATAACCCTAAAACAATTCAAGTAGTAATGAGTATATTTTTTAATATGTGCCTGGATGAACCTATAAAACAGATATACAAAGTATTGAACTATTAGTACCTGTAGTGAAAAATTTCAGGGTATGTATGTTGTATGCAAAAGAAATATCCTCTTCCAAGATTTATTTTTGTATTAGGGCATGTAACTAATTTTGCTAGTAATTGAATGATGTTTGGTACAGTTGTGTTTTCATATGTGTATGCATAAATATTTGAGATGCTTAGCCAGTAATTGTTTTCTGTTTGTAAAACACTTGATGTTTCAAAATTAATACCTTTGGTATCTTTCCACTATTGTTTTAACTTTATGCAAAATTTGAGTTTCAAAGAATAAGTTAGGTGAATTTCTTGGTTCTAGAGTAATGTGGTGGTAGCATAATGAAGCATCTTCCACTTTCATCAGTGCCATGTCTGTGAAAATAAGTAAATGAATTAACTTGGTATAAAACAATCAGAGAAATGCATCAGTGTTGCAATATATATATATGCAGTGTCTTTTTTTTGATCAGGTGCTTTGACATTTGGTGTTATTTGACTTGTAATTCATTTTTTTATTATGACACATAATGAACACTTTAAGTACATTATTTGGCAAATTGAAGTACTAAGAAATAGATGTTTTACAAAGCTATTTAGTGCATATCTTTGTGAAACATCAGTTTCTGTGAGCCAGTAGAATGCTAGAAGAATCTGATGGATTATAAATACTTCTACAGTTCGCATAGTGCTATATTAGAAGAACGAGTGACATAATATCTAGAAAGCACCATGTTGACACAGTAATAGAAACAGTGGTCTTTGCTACATTGTTTTCTTTGTAATATCACATTACATTAGTTGGTAATGTTTGGTATGTTACATGTTCCTTGTTGACACAGTAAAAGGATAACATGTAGTGATATTTATTTTCTGGTGTGCCTCACATTGCCACACAAGTGGAAATACAAAATTTTATTAAGATATCTTTGTTTGCACATTACAGAAAATTGTGAAATTTTATTTGAGTTTGAAATAATGGTTAATTTTAAGCAAATTACTGATCAAGTATGTAAAATGCAAAGTAAATGTAAAAGTTCTAGTTTTTAGTAAGTGAATTATTTTGTGAATTGCCAATGTAGATGAGGCTTTATGCCAAATGCCTGAGTTAATTAGGCTGGCTGGGATATGGCAGATGGAATAGTGGTCAAGGATATATATGTATATGTATGTATGTATCACCAGTTTTTATGAACAACAACTATTAGCATGTGAATCAGATTAAAGTGAATTGTAATTAGTATAAATTTTATTTAAGTCATTTACACATCAGATTTGTAAGTAAGAATTAAAAACCTCATTTTTATTTTAATTTGGCACAGTTTACTTATTTATTATGTTGGTGTACTTTGGTGACAGATTTTCTTGTAGGCAGATTTTGTTAAACAAGACCGATATCTATAGGTTTACTTTC